ATCTAATCTACAGCTAACATAATAGTTGTCTTAATTATCTTAATATTTTGTGTCCCTTCTATTTAATGAAGCTTTTCTACCGAATTTACACGTGATATTTTCATGTTATAGACTAATGTAAAAATTGAGGGTACCTATGAAGAACATGAATTTTGTCCCTTTTGCACCAGCATGCGTGTGGCTATTGCTTTTAGTTATTATATTGAATCCTCGTTCTAGGATACCGAGTGCTCACATCAGTATATGCTGCTAACCTTCATTAATTATATTTCCTTTCCATTGTGACAATTATGGATTCCGTCTTTTTTTCTTCTTTCTTTTTTTAATTGGCAAGAGTTTCTGTAATCTATGATGAAATTTGGATGTAGTACTGAAAGACACTTTTTAACAATTTTTTTTAATTGCGTTGTTTTATTATTAATTGAAATTTATTAAAAATAAGAAATTTGTGGATCTCATCTCTCCTTTAATAACTTTTATTATTTGAAATTCTAGCTTTAATAAATAATTGTAGATAGTGTGTCAAGAGTGCGTTTAAGAATATATTGATAAAGACTCATTGAAAGTTCTAACAGTTGTACTTATAAATAAAAGAACTTTATTTTTAAAGTTACATGCGCAGAGAATCGAAATTCATTATTTTTTTAATAGAACACGGGCCTAAGGATCCAAATTCATCGGACACGTAACAATTATACAGCTAAGGATCCAAATTTATCGGACACAAAACAGAATAGGAAATGTGCTTCCCACTAGTAAAAGGAACATCAAATTACAAATACAAACGGGAGAAATTATAACATCATAGTCCTGACCAATTATAACACACTCATCATCACTTTATTAGTATCTTCCACGTACGAAAACTTGCATGTACAGAAAACAAAAGTGAAACATTATAGGTTTAGATTCAATTAGGGGAATGGTATTGGTTGAAGGAGAAGTGAAACCTTCTTGTGGACAGTGATCCCAAATGCATACTCAGCCAAAGTGATCCCAAATGCAATTCCAGGGCACCCCCTTCTCCCAACACCAAAAGGAATAAACTCAAAATCTTGTCCTTTGAAATCTACCTCCCTGTCACTACTAGATTTTAATTCTTTAGCAACATTTTATTGTTTATATTTATTAAAATATTATTATATATTAAATAAATATGTTATTTTGCAATACTTTTTAAAAAAATTTATTATAGATAGAGTAAATTTTTTTATTTCAATATTATTATTTTTAATTGTTTTCAAAATCAAAGTCCTATATCGAGTAAAAAAATTTCACATAGGTTATAATTTGCAACATTTTTTTTTGAAAAATGTTACTATACTTGCTTCTAAAATCAAAGTCACACATCGAGTAAAAAAAGTATATTTCTCTTATCTCTAATTATTAAACATAATAAAGTTCCACATCGAATAGATTAATGGCTCATAAAGAGTATATATAACCATATAGTTATACTTAAGATAAATGAAATTTGATATTTTATATATAATTAATGGTAACTAATTAAGAATGTCTTTAATCTTCTCTCAAAGAACTCCTACGAGTTTAAGAGACATAAAAATATAGTAATATAAATTAAAATTCATTATCATTTGTATTTTTAAAAATAGAAAATAATAAAAAGATAAAATAATACAGTAAGTGATTTTTTAAGAAGTGATTTGGTTTACTCTCTCTATGAGACGTTAGTTGACGCACGTCATCCTCATCGCGAACTCCCTGTTACGTTGCTCTCCCACTCCCAGGTATGGAACCACTCAACCTCAATGCCATGGTGATCGAGGATGACAAAGACCTTATCATAACCGAAGACACCATCGTTGGACCTGAGACAAATCTGACTTTATGCTTGGTAGGAAGGTTCCTCACTAAACGCCAGATACGTACTCAGATGATGAAGGAACGCATGGCAGAAGTTTGGCACCCACGTAAAGGTGTTTCTATACGTGAAATAGACTCTGGTCTCTTTCTCTTCCAATTTTACCACCCACTGGACATGCAATGCATATTAAAGGGAGGCCCTTGGTCGTTTGATCTTCATTTACTCATACTGGGCATCATCAAAGACGGAGAAGTTCCAAATCAAATACCGCTTTACACTGTACCTTTTTGGGTGCAAATTCATCAACTTCCACCTGGATTCAACTCCTCCTCTGTGGGTCAAAATATAGCCAATCACATCGGTGAATTTTTGGAGTTTGACTCACGAAACACAACTACGTTTTGGAGGTCATATATGCGTGTACGAGTTCTCATTGATGTCAGAAAGCCTTTAAAGAAATCAAAACGTATAAAAAAATCGAGAGGCGAGGCTACGGTGGTCTTATTCAAATATGAGAAATTAGGCCCCTTTTGTTTTGTATGTGGTCTATTAGGCCATATGGAGGATAGTTGTGAATTCCTATTCAACGCATCTGAAGACGATGGACAACGTGGCTAGGGACCGGAGCTCCGAAATGACCCTCGAACAGCCACTCCTAGATCGCGTTGGTTACGTGATGAGGATTCTGGTTTGACTTCTCCACAAAATCTAGGATCTAGCGAATATTATGGGATTGGCCAATCTGTTACTTCCAACGCCCAAAGCGGGAATCCTATCTATCCTGATAATCATGACAACAAAAAAAGAAATGATTTAATGATAGAGATTTTTAAGAATCCAGCTATTATGGCTGCCAGGGCCCACACCTCAAATGCTACCAGTAATTCCCATGTACAACAAAACACAATTGCTGATATCACCAAAGAGCCCATCAATTTAACCCATGCAAACCAAAATTCTGTTGCGACTAATGATGACCTTACTATACTCGATAGAAAACGTCGCTACCACGGCGACGCTGAAATCGCAGATGAACACACCACTACATCAATCATGGACACCGAAGATGCTGATCATTTTTTATGGGCAGGCCCTGGAAACCAGGCCTGCCAGGGCTCATGAGTTGCATAAGTTGGAACTGTCAGGGCTTAGGCAACTTGTGTGCAGTTCCTACCCTTAAAGGTCTTGTTCGGACATACCACCCGGACGTGATCTTCCTTTGTGAAACGAAGGTACATGCATGACGTCTAGAAGACATATGTGTGGCTCTTAACTTTGACTCTTCTTTTGCTATAGATAGCTTTAGATGCAGTGGTGGCCTCACACTTCTCTGGAAGCAACCATATTCTTGTCACTTAATTAATTTCTCTCCCCACTTCATCAACGTTTCTGTCACTCATCCTAAGAAGTCAACATAGCGACTCACAGGTTTCTATGGTTATCCAGAAATAAACCGTAGGAAGGATTCTTGGGACCTATTGCGTTACCTTGCACAAGACAATTCACTTCCATGGTGTGTCATTGGAGACTTTAATGACCTCTTATCTAACCAAGATAAAAAGGGTTTGATAGAGCACCCAACATGGTTACTACAGGGGTTCCGTGCAGCTGTGATGGACTCTGAACTAGTGGATATACCTCTTGAAGGTTTACAATTTTACGTGGACCAAGAGTCGTGGTTCACCAACACAAGTGGAGGAACGGTTGGATAGAGCTATGGCCACTCAAAGCTAGCTTGATCAATTTCCACATAGTAGACTTATAAACGCAGTGGCTGCCAGGTCAGATCATTCTTCTATTCTCTTAAAACTATCCATGCAAATCACATTACGTACTCGTCGGTCTTTTAGGTTTGAGAACGCATGGCTAGATGAACCTGGTCTATCCCCATTGGTTGAAGCGAGTTGGCACCGTGGGCACTTCCCAGACATTCTTGACAGACTAAAATCTTGTTCCAAAGACATGGATGAATGGGGTCGCCAGCTTCGCTTGAGGTTTTGTGCTCCTATTAACGCTTGCCGACGTCAACTCTTGGAGTTACGTGAAAAGCATGATGCCAATTCTGTGTCAGCATTTTTGGAGGCTCAAGAGTGCTTATCAACACTGCTCGCAAAGGAAGAAGCTTTCTGGAAACAAAGAGCCAAGGTGTATTGGCTTAAAGATGGAGACAAAAATACCAAATTCTTCCATGCCATGGCTAGTGAAAGAAAGAAGAAGAACTTGATCCAACGCCTCACCAAACTTGATGGCACAATTGCTATAGCCCAACAGGACCTCTGTCAGGTTGCTCAAAATTACTTTAATGACCTATTTGAAGCCCAACAAAGTGACATTGCCCAAGTCGATCATTGATCATATCTCCCCCAAAATCACAGCAGCAGACAATGACTCTCTCCTCCAGCCCTTCTGCAGCAGTGAATTCAAGAGAGCCCTTTTCGCCATGCACTCTGACAAATCACGAGGACCGGGTGGCCTTAATCCAGGTTTTTACAAGCGGTTTTGGGACCTCCTTGGCCCAAAAGTCTTTGTTGCCGACACTCATTGGCTTGAACAAGGAGAATTTCCTCCTCAACTGAACAACACAAATGTGGTGCTTATTCCTAAAACAACAAATCCAACTTCCATGAAAGATCTTTGCCCCATATCATTGTGCAATGTGATTTATAAAATCCTATCTAAGGTTCTTGCTAACCGCATGAAGCCATTACTCAACCAATGCATCTCTCTAGAACAATCTGCCTTTGTGGAGAATCGCTCAATACTTGACAATGTTTTGGTAGCCATAGAACTCATTCACCACATGAAATGCAAGAAAAATGGCAGAACAGGTGAAAGAAAATATTTGTAGAATCTTCCTAATTAGAGAAAATATCTGTAGAATCTTCCTATTTATTTTTCAGCATATTATAGTTTCTTATTTCCTTATTTTGGAGGATTAGATTGTTACAAATAGATGTAATGAGAATGTAACCTGCATGAATGAAATAATAAAATCATTCTCTCTTTTCGAAGTCGCATCCCCATCCTTAGTCCATCACTCCATTGGACTCTTGATTTTTGTCTCCAACAAAAATTCCTTAAAATCCCAAATATTTACTTATTCCCAATGAAATTTATAATCACTTGAATACAATTTGATTCTAGAAGTCACATACCAAATCAATGGTGGTGATTCTAATGAGTTTCAAATTCATCCTAAGAGTCTCGTGTATGAAAAACAAATTAATACTCCCATTAAGGACATTAAGATTATGAATTCATAATGATAAAAAAAAAAAAAAGCAACAAGTGTAATATATTGACCATACCGCCTCTGCACTAAACGAATAAAGTGTTGGGGTGGAACAAATGCACGTTCCATATCAACTAGTGCAACCACCATTTTTTTGGATTCATTTTTAAATTCCTCCAGGGCTGAACTTGCAATTGCCACAATCTGAAAATTGTAACAAATGATAGATAATTTCTAAACAAGAAAGCAAGTTACAATGAATTGCAGCACAGCATTGTTACCTCTCTCTTGAATGGAGGATACCTTCCAAGACCAGGCGTTGCATTTGCAGAAGCAGAAACAAGATCCACAAGCACGCGATGTACCTAATGTCAGAAAAGGGAAACTGATATTTTATTCTGAATTTGCTCTAGCATACCACTCAGCAGAGTGATCTATTTATAATTACAAAGATAGTAAATAACTACTATTTTCAAAAGAACCATTAAAGTATCACTGCTTCCTATGATACATTGAACTCAGCTGCTAAACACAATAACTAACCAACTTGGAAGGGTAATAATTAAATGCTCCTATTTCAACACCCTAATTTGGTAGTTGCCAGAATACCTCATCAACACACATTCGTGATGGCTCCTTTGCCAGTTCAAGAACACCTTTAATCAAGGATCTTAAACCTTTCTCTGGAGAGATAAGATAAGGTTGATATCCGTCTGCTTCTAGGACAATCTGACATAAGCCAAAATGGGGGTATAAGAAGCAAGCATCTCAAGAGTCAAGATAATAAGATAAACTAAATTCTACGTAAACAATATGACAAATTCAAGGGAGAAGATTTACCCTCTTAACATTGTTTATGTCAAAGTGTCTGTCAATAGGAAGTTGCTTGATTCTGTTAGGAAAATTCCCTTCAAAACTGGCAACAACTTTCCAACCATTACCCTACAAGGAAATAAAGGAAAGAATTTAAATACAGAAAAAAATAGGATTCTTGTACTGTATATTGGTGGAACCCTATAGCCAAGATCAGAGTATCTAACTTCTTTATTTGAAATAAATACACAAGAGACACAAAAGCACCAGAAAGTAAGAAACAGATGACCAATCCAAGGATCAATTTTAAAGAGTTCAAACATTAGATTCCTTTTCAGAGCCAGTTTGAAAGTTTCAACACATTTACATTGTAACTTTCTCTTCTGATACCAATAAATTCCCTTGTATATAGAAAAGGTGCAGCACCAAATCAATTATTAATAGTCCAATATCTTCAAAAGGCTGCCTTCTGGATATTTTTCATGAATTAGTATATAGCTGACTCTTGCTCGAACAGGATCTTCCTCTTGAAGCTCTCTACCAGAATATTTATTAAATATCTCCAATATCTTTATTATATATCTTTGATGATCCCATATGAGAGGCTTTTTTGCCTTTAATTATATTACCTTATTTGTTTCCTCATTTAATTAAGATCTTCTATTAGTATAAACAGAGCTCGGAGGTTTGATTTTTGGATCCCATCATTAAGCCGAAGAAAGTATTGTTCAGAATCTCTATGCTGTCTCTTCCTCCTTCCATGCCTAAACCCATAATTTGTGTTTGTGATTTTTCCATATTTCTTTGTTCCTGATCTTTCTTTTTGTTAATTTTGTTGTATTCAGCCTTTGGTCTTGAGCTCTGGCTCTGCTGTGCATTGTTACCATCATTCCCATAACTCGGTGCTGCAGAATGACCATTTCAGCCTGTCTTTCAGCATTTTGGCACTGTTTGGCTTGTCTCTTTCTGCATCTATATTAACTAATGTAGACTGTATTTATGTGGAATTGCTCTGTTTCGTCCAGCCTGACTCTATTCCAGTCTGTCTTTCCACAAATTGACTCTAGATGCAATTTAGCCCCCTATCTCAACTCACTGATGCAATCTTGGCTGTCTCCAGTCCAAGATGCACGGTGACCTCACCTCAAAACCCAGATCACATTTAGCCTCATCTCCAATCTCAAATGCAGTTTGGTCCTTACTAATGTCATTGGATTGTATTCTTGGTTTATTTTCTTTTAGTGTGTATAATTGCAAGTGTTAGAATATTTAAGAAATATTTTCATAACATGATAGATACGGATATTACTATAAAACAGGTAGGAAATTTTCAGAGAACCAAGCTCTGATTACAATGGAAAATTGCAGAAAATACAGATGCGGTAGGGTAAAAGAAATCTATCACAGAAGCAGTGCCTTCTCTGTCCTGCAGCCTAAGCCATCTCAAAACTACCCAAATGATGACACACTCTGCACCACCCTACAATCCCTTCATATTCACGTCCTCCTTCATGATTGTTGCATCATCCTTTTTGATATCCTGCTGCCAAGAGTCATTTTCGTTATAGACATGCATAGCAGATTCCACAACTACCTTTCCCAAACTTCCCTTATACCTCTCTCTCATTCTTTTGTCCAGGGGAGGAGTTAGAATAGTATTTTTTAAGATTGCAGGGATCTAATCTTGCTTATTTAACAATCTTAAAGTATCTTGGATGATCTGATGGGAGTGCAAGGAGTGGTATTGTATATCATTATATTTGCAATTTGTTTCCTTTGTATTCAAAGTGTTTTCTCTTTGAATCACACCATCACATCATTGTTGTTAAATGGTGCCAAGGCATAATGGTGTGGTGGACTTTTGGCCAACTGCCATAGGCAATTTGTGAAGGGAAGCCCGCTATGGTGGCACGATAGGCCACACTGGCATGTTTACAAGGCAGAATTTTGGCCTTCCACCTTTGGTTACACTTAATACACAAGAATATTATTCAGAATCTCTATATTCTCTCTTCTTCCTTCTAGACCTAAATCCCTATAATTTCAACAATTTTTCAATGATTTTTTTATTAAGAAAATAAAATTGGTTAAAGAGAGGGAGGGAGAGAGAAGTGCAGAAGCAAGGACAAGATATCTTCCTACACAGTGAGGTAAACACGCATCAAATGAACAAATCACACTAGTTTAATATCCAATCTCTTCTGACAATCTAGTTTTCCCCCCATAATACCAAATACTATGCACCCATGCTTCTATAAAATGTAAAATTAAATAACAAAAACTACTAACCTCGCCTCCAGTAAGATGTTGCAAAAATTTGTCCTCAAATTCACGGCATAACTGCAAGGCTAGAGCTCTTGTACCTTCTGAACTACTAACCATTTGTTCACCAAACTTCACTAACTCTTCCTGAACAATTTGAGACTTTCCCTGAAGACTGCAGCATTTCAAATAAAGGATTACAATATATTTTAGGGCCATTCACATTTAAACAATTTAGATTTAATTGGGCCCGCGGACTTATCCGTTTATCCACGGGCTTCACGGGCCGGATACGGACTTAAAGATTTAAGTCCATTTATTTCGCGGACTGGATTTATCCGGCCCGTTAAAAATGCGGACTTCGCGGACCGGGTCTTAAACGGGCCGGACCGGTCCGCATACCCACCCCTACTTATAAGCAACCATTCATGGTATCAAAATTTGTAGAGGTGCCCCACAACTCACCCACCTCTTATTTGTAGATGATTGTTTTCTCTTTTGTAAGGCTACTAATAGAGAATGTACCACACTTAAGAACATCCTCAACCATTATGAGAAAGCTTCTGGTCAAGCCATTAACATGCAAAAGTCAGAAATCTTTTACAACAGTAACACAACACCTGCTGCTAAAGCATCAATCACTACTATCTTAGGTGTTTCAGAATGCATGGGCACCGACAAGTACTTGGGACTACCTTCAATGATTGGTAGGAAGAAAAAGGCACTGTTTAACAACATCAAGGACCGCATATGGAAGAAAATCCAACATTGGTCTGGTAAGCACTTATCTAAAGCAGGAAGAGAAACACTCCTAAAATTAGTAGCTCAATTCATTCCATCCTATTATATGAGTGTCTTCCTCATTCCTTCATCACTTGGCGGTGAGATTCAATGCATGTTAAACTCTTTCTGGTGGGGTCAAACAGACACTCTAGGAAAGGCATCCATTGGCTTAGCTGGGAAAAATTATCCATGAGGAAAGAACACGGAGGAATGGGATTTCGCAACCTCTATGGTTTCAACTTAGCCATGCTAGGGAAGCAAGGTTGGAAATTCTTGACCAACCAAGATGCTATAGTTACTCGTGTTTTCAAAGCTAAATACTTCCCGCGAGGGGATTTTCTGGGGGCCAATCTTGGCCACAACCCGAGTTTCACATGGCGTAGCATCCACGCTTCACAGGTAGTGGTAAGGGGGGCATGCGGTGGTGTATTGGTAATGGTCTTCGCATCAAGCCATGGATTGATCCCTGGCTGCGTCAACAAGGTAAGCCCTATGTGACATCTTTGCCTCCAGCAGGGTATGAGGAGATCAGGATAGCTGACCTAATTGACTTTGAGAATGGCACTTGGAAGTTTGATCTTATCAACAAGATTTTCAACCAACGTGACGTTAATGCAATAAAAGATATCCCACTCCTCCAACTTGATGAAGCAGATACATTCACGTGGAATCTCAATAGGAAAGGCTCGTACTCTGTTAAATCTGCTTATTATCTTATTATGGAGTCCCTATTATGCAACTCTATCTCAAGGCTCCCTGGTGATTGGAAAAAGTTATGGGCTTTACCTATTTCACATAACATGAAAATCTTTCTTTGGAGACTTCTTAGAGACTGTCTTCCTTCACGCCAACGCCTTCAGCAAAAGGGAGTCCTTTGTACCTTCCTTTGTCCCCACTGTGAAGCTGCACAAGAAAACAATTGGCACATTTTCTTTGGTTGCCAAGAAGCACAGACCGTATGGCAAGCAACTGACATATGACAACATATTAAACCCTTAGTAGATATAGGTGAAGGAATTGTAGAGGTCATCTTTTCCTTACTTGGCAGCATATCTCAAAGCCATATTGTTGAAGTCATGGTCACGCTTGGCTGTATCTGGAGGCGTTAGAATGCTAAGGTTTGGGATTAGGGCGGCCTTCAGGTGTAGCCATCTCACAAGCAAAGCAACATTTCCGGGATTGGCAAGTGGCACAAGCAAGATCGTCAACACAAAGGATCCCTCCTGTACACGATCTACAGTGGAAAAAGCCCCATGTAGGGACGTTTACGTGCAATATTAACATTTCTCTCTTCCAGGACTCATCCTACTTTGGGTATAGCATGTGCATTGGAAATGATCATGGACATTTTCTCACAGCCAAAACTGGTTGGGCTCATGACCTTCCACCTGTTCATGAGGCTGAAGCTACAGCTCTACTTACAGCCATCCAATGGATAGTAACTTTGAGCCTCACCCACATAACCATTGAGTCGGATTGTAAATTTGTCCTTGATGCTCTATCTAGGACTCAATCACACCATTCAGAATATGGGTCTCTTCTTAATAAGTATAGAAGATTGCTACACAATCATCCGAACTTATCATTAAAGTTCATTCCGAGACAAGCCAATCGGGTCGCTCACTATTTAGCTAGGGCGTCACGATGTTATGCTAGCTCTCACACTTTTGAATTTATTCCCTCATGCATTGTTCCAATTATTTTGAATGAAATGACATAATCTTATTCCCTTCAAAAAAAAATTCATTATCATTTTATAAAATTAAAAAAATATTGGCAACATCATTAAAATGTTACAAAAATACTACTTTGCTAACATTTAAAAAATGTCTAATTATATAAAAATGTTATTAAAAGTCTTTAACAACATGGACTATATACAACATTTGATAATATGTTGCTAAAGCAAATTAGTAACATTTATACATAATTAAGTAACATTTTTCAAATGTTTCAAAAAACTATTTGTGTTATAGTGTGTCTTTGAATCTCTCTGGAATGAACTCATCTGGTTTCTCCCAAAATTCAGGATCCCTTTGAATTGACCATGCATTCAAAATTACTCTTGTCTTGGCTAGAATGTCGTACCCTCTTAGCTTCACAGTAGTGGATGTTTCTCGAGGAAGCAAAAAAGGAGCAGGTGGATTAAGGGTGTTCATGGATTGGATTTTTGAACAATCCGAACCGAACCGTTTTATAAAAGTGGATCGGTCAAACTATTCATTTTTTATAAAGTGGATGAGTTTGGTTTTTTTAAAATATGGATTGGTTTTTTTGAAATTGGAACGGTTTGGTGCGGTGTAGTTATCCACTTTTTACTCATATATGGATCGGTTTTTTTAAAAAACTAAACCGAACTGAACCAATCCACTTTGTAAAAATAGATTGGATAACTGAACCCGTTTTATAAAGTGGTTCAATTCAGATTTTTTTTCAAAATGGATCAGATTTTTCAATACTGATCGGATCGCACTAGTACTAAAGAGACATTTTATGTCTGTTATTTTGGACTTTTTACGTCAGAAGAAAGTCTGACGATAATGTGGGAGACGTAAATTTACGTTGGGTGTTTTAACCGACATAAAATTACGTCGGGCATCCTCTACATCCGACATAAAATGGTTGACAAACAAACAAAAAAATAACCTCAATCCGTGAACACATCCGAAAAATATCTAAATGCTTCAATCCAATTGGAGAGATAGGTCCATAATAAAAAATGGATCTTGCCGCCGCGCACTGTAAACAGAAAACGTCCAAAGGTCTCGCATCGCTGTCGCTGAAAACCAATGGAGACCAAAATAGTTCAAAACACTCGTGTGCAGGAATAAAACAAATTTTTTACACAAAAAGATCCACACAATCAGAGAGATAGGTTCAGATTCAACCCAATCAGAGAGATAGGTTCAGATCCACACAAAAAGCACTAACCTCAATCCGTGAAAATGCCTAAATGCTTCAACCCAATCAAAGAGATAAGTTTAGATTCAAAAATGGGTTTCGTCGTCGCTGTCCTCGTTGCTCACCATGACCGGAAAACGCTCAAAGGTCTCATACCACCGTCAACAAAAATCGCTAGAGAGAAAAATAATGTAAAAACACTTGCGTGCACGAAGAAAATGAAGGTGCAGGGAGGAATAAAACAACTCTTTTACATCGGTCCAAAAGGGATCAAACGTAAAAATTGAAATCTACGTTGGACTGTACTCCATATCTAACGTAGATTTTAATTTTTACGTCGGACTCCCTTTGGTCTGACGTAAAAAGGTTTGGATTAATTTCAAAAATGCCACCGCGTATTTTTTACGTTGAATATTTTTATGATTGGCGAGAAAACACCAACGTAAAAGACTGATTTTCCACTAGTGTCGGTTATGAATCGGTTCATATCAATTTGGATTTTTTGCACACCCCTAAGGTGGATGTAGCCTTAGAGTTTCTTTGACTACACACTTCGAGTAATTCATTTGTTTCACATCGTTTTCATCCACTTCTGCTTTGTTCTCGACCACTCTTCTTACCTCTTCTTGGACCTTTTCCATGGTATTTGGATTCTTCATGAGCTCTGCCATCATAGCCCATTCCAAAGTGGTTGAAGTTGTGTCACTTGCCCCTATAAACATGTCCTGAAATTATGGAAAATGGAAATTAATTAAAGCTCATTAATTAGGCATTTCCTTTGGTGCAAATTTTGTTTAGGGGTACCAAAGTCCTCTGTGACTAGAACCACATAAATGATGACATGTGTTGATTTTGTCAGAACTTATATCTTTTAAGAATGTTTTAATATTTGTTATTTAACCCTCATTAATTTATAACCTTTTAAATAATAGCCCTCGGCCTATTTAAATATGCTTTATCTTCTTCATCTCCCTACCTGTTTCATATTTATTTTTCCTCTTCTCTTTGGCGCATCTCTGGCTTCAGCACCGGCACCATCCCCTCCAAATTCACCTCTCTCAACATCTCCCTCCGCAGCTCTGGCTCCACCATGTCGGTGCCATCGCACTATTTCTGCAGGAATTACTTCAACCCTAGCACCGGAACATGAGCATGGTGTCGTTTACACTGGATAAACAACGGTCGTTTAGAGCTCCATTGCAACGCCTCGGGGGTTTCCTTCATCAAAGTTGAATCCTCATCGAGTTTACAACATCTCAGAGACAACTTGAACTTGTACCACCTCCTTTTTCCCACCGTGGACTACACGCTCCCAATTCACCAAAATCCGTTGCTTCTAATTCAGCTAACGAGGTTCTCCTGCGGCGGCGTCAGCATTGGCATCAAGATTTTGCACGTGGTGGTGGACAGAACTAGCGCCTCGCACTTCGTTTGCGAGTGGGCGAGGCTGGCACGCGGGGAGCCTTTGCAAATGGTGTCGTTTCAT